ATTATTGCTAGGAACAAATAAATCATGCTCATGCAGAACAAATAATCACCAAACATCTATCCTTAGCTAGGGGCATTAAGAACATGCTACACTCATTGGCTTAACTCTCCCAGAAATGATGACCCTAGGATCCAGAAAGCCCGGTGGAACTCAGCAGTGAAGCTGCTGGTGGTACCCGTATTATTACATACGAGCAACCTAGGAATCACTCATATGATAGATGAGTGCAAAATGCCATCACTGGGGCCAGAGCTATTATTATTTTTCATTTCTGTTTGCACTTGAAAGTAGCGTGATTCTAAAGAGTAAATGGCATGCTGACAGAAGCAACTACACAAGCTGGGCTGCACTGCACAGATTGCTGCCTTTTACATTTCTGATTTGTAAAATGTATAATAAGCCATAATATGCCTGACAGGTAGCAAAGACATCTGAATTATGCAGCTTGTTCTGTGGGAGGTCAGTTTGGTGGAAAGGCATTGTACATCGACGGACTCTGGTTTGTTGGAATAATTACTTGAAATTATTTTGGCATAACTGAATTTGTACAAATCGAGGAAACAACAACAGCGGAAATGAACTATCGGTTAATGCCAGTGCAACAATAATCATAGAGCAGGCTGGAGCCTGTTAAATAAGGATGAATTCAAGCAAGCCAAGAGGACCGAAAGGAACAGATAACATGAGAGCTCTCAGAGACCTGGGGATCTGCTACCTAGTGCAACCTGCTCTACCTCTCTCCTCCCCAATCTGCAGTGTATAACCAACAATATATTCTCGGATAGTTGTTGTAAAGCTTCAAAGACCTATGTGCTGAAGGACTGTGCCTGGCACACAAGAGATGGCATGTTACTATTATTTTTTATTAGTAGTAGTAAATTTGCTACTGCTGTCTTTATTATTATATGAAGCGGAATTTGAAAACACCAAAGAACGGCAAGAAGGAAGAAATAATTGCTAAAAACTGCTTATGTTAGCTTGGTTTGCTAGTTTTTAAAGTTGCTAGAAATGTTGGCCCTTGTCTGAAGCAATTTGTCTTTTAAATCAAGAGATTCTCAATGTAGGGCTTGTAGTAGAGTGGCTGTAGTTTGGGTATAATGCCAAGTTCACTAGATTTAGAAAACAAAGGCCATGTTTTATTCTGCTGCCCCAGGCTGGTCTAGTCTTGGCTGCTGTTATTTCACCTCTCTGGACTTTGATTTTCTGAACTAATGAGGGATTACCTTCTTTTCTACAGCAGGCAGTTGCCAGAAAAACTCAGGTTGTCTTATGAGGTTGAGTTAGCTTGTTTTAGTGTGGTTGTTGTAGTGTGACTGTACCTGAAAGGGCAAAGAAAGAAAAGTAGAAGCCTTGGTCTGAGCCTATCATCAGAGAAATGGTGAGATGGGTTTTCAATGACAGCCAACTGGTTTGAATTTTAACCACAGTTGGAGAAAGGGGGGCAGAATAAGATGCATGAGGTAAAAATATTTCCACTGCCTGGGGGACTGAGGGACAGTGCGTGGGGGAGGCCAGTGTGTTATACTTGGTTAATAAAAAAAACCTGTCGCGATGTCGGGGGAAGCTAGTTTGCATGTGTTCACTTTCAGGCTGTAAAGGGGGAACAGTGAGATCGGGGAGGTAGGAAAGTGGGGAGAGGAAACAGAGTGAGATTCGTGGGGACAAATGCAAATCATGTGTGCAGTTGAAACGGTTCTGCCCTGGAGGTGGGCAGTGAGATGGAGCAGGGAGACCAACATGACTGAGGCGTGAGGGGAAATCAGGAGCAACTAGCAGCCAACTCTTCCTCCTCCTTCTCTTCCCGCTCCTCCTCCCTCCTCCTCCCCCTCTTCCACATAGCATGGCTTCCCAGCGAAAAGATGACCTCGCTTTTGACTCTACTTAGTTTGAAAAGTAATGTGGGGGTCAAGGAGAGGTAGAAAGAAACAGCAAAAGCACTTCCTGTAAGAAGGAGGCAGATGGGGAATGGGGCAAGGCGCCCACTTGCTGTGGAACAACCCACAGGCCTCCAAAGCCCTCAAAACAACCAGAATGTGAATGTGATTTTAAAAAGTTTAACAAGCACACTCCATTGTGACATACAATGTGGCCTATAAAAATTTAAGAATTGGTCATAAAGTCGGGGGCATAAACTTCAGAAAGCTTATTTTTATTCTGAGTATGGGGAGTGAAACATTCCATTCATTAAGAGTGTTGTTGGAAAAACAAAAGAATTCTATACAATCTATAGCCCTTCCAAAAAAATAAAAAAGTAAAAGCAGCCACCTACGTTTCCCTGGACTTTCAAGAACAACAGGACCTTTGTTACTTTCTCAAAGGGTGCTATCTTTTATGAGCTTATTAAGGCAACTTGCTTTTCTTTCCATGTTTGAGTGAAATTCTGCTATTTCTTTAAGTGGCTCCTCCAGGGACTGACTGGAGTCACCAATTTCTGGCAGGTGTTTGCCCTACTCCCCTCACTTAGCCCCTGTACAAACCATCTAGGCACTGGGGCTGGGCTGTTTTTCAGTGGAGAATTCCAAGGGTGACAAGGCAGGCAGTGATTTTCACATGGGTCCCATATTCTACTGGAAATTAAGCCAAAGACCTGACTGACTTCATTTATGCTGTAACCCAGGGGAGAAAGAGAGGAAAAATAAGTTTACTGTGATGACTAGAGCAAGACAGTGCTTTCAGTGGTGCCTATCTTTAATGAAGGTGATGGACAAACAAGCAAACGGTGAGTGGATCTTCCCTATGTCCGAGTTCCCATGATGCATCATGCTGATGGACTTTGCAATGGCTACTTTGCTTCAGGACCCAGAGCCCGAGGCAGAGATGACTGGAGGATTTCTGGGGTCTTGTCTTATCTTACAAAAGGGCGAGAATATCTCTAATCCACAGTCTTATCTATGATCAGAGTTGTATGAGTTATTGTTGTTATTATTATTATTATTATTATT